CATTGGTTCTGAGGACCATACTCCCAAACTCGGGTCATCATGCTTGCATAGACTGAGCTATCTCTTCCCTGCCTGGTCCTCACAGTATCCCCAAGTAGTGTCACTATGGTGTCTCTCTTGGTAAATGAAGAACTGAGGCTTCAATAGTGTGAAGAATTTGTCTTTTGACCAACAAGCTGGGAGCACTGAGCTAGAATCTGTCTGAGAACATTAATAAGTTATTAAACAGTACAGAGTTTATACTTGAGCCTTCAGAAGCCACAACTGGGACACTGGACGGGCCACTCCCAGGGTTGACATCTAGCCATTCTTTGCCTGCCTTAGCTACACAAGACAAAAATCCTTTTTACCACTGCAGGTGTCAAGAAGGAACACAGAGCAGCAATTTTGAAAAACGGCAAAAAAAGAAAAAACTAACAAGAAAAGACAAAACAAAAAGGGAAAGTTTCCCTTCATGTTAGTGTTTCGATTTCTAAGCTGTGAAGGGTAAAGGTATTCCCCTGCCCTCCACAACTCTCAGAACAAATGCACCTGTCTGGATTGTTTCTCTATATGCAGAGGACCCTCAACAAAGAAAGGCTGTTGTTAATTTTAAGACATCAAGTTCACACTCTTTATCTGAAAGACAATGAAGAAAGATGGTCTTAATATTCAGTGAACTTTTAAAGAATCAGTTGATTCATTCAAATGTGACATGTTCAATGGATTTCTTCCACAAATGAAAACATGCATCATCCCGCTTGCTAACCACTTCCTCCCATGCTACCTAATACCATTTTTCAGGACTATTTCCTAAAGCTACATCATCCATTCCATACTGGCATGGGCAGCAGCCACTGGCTGCAACTTCTCTGTTGCTTTTGTTTGTTTTGCAGACATCCTGATCTTAATTGCAGGTAGGTATCACACTCAATTCCTCACCCCTCCCTTGAATGATTACCTTCAGGGACTGTCAAAGCACTTTCTAGTTACCTGACAGACCCACCTCTCTCCCAGTCTCCCAGGCTTGCTGACTGCAGGCTCTCCCCTGGGCATCCTCCTCTGGATCCCCTCCACTCTGGTCCCCCTTGCTCCTTTGCTACTGCACTAATCTCCTAAGTGCTTTCCTTGCCTGCACACCTGTCTGCTCCTGGGCATCCTTCGTGAGCAAGCCAAAGTGCCCTTTCTAATAAATGCACCCAATATTGTCCTTCCATGTTTACCAAGGCCTTGGTGTGTTGAAACTAAGTTCTGTCAGTTTTAGAGAAAAAAAAAACACTTAAAGCTGCATGGCCTGGCTCTTCCTCTCATGTCAGCATCTTTATCCTCTCCCCATCCTCCTTTGACTATCCAGCTATGTTCAGTCTCTTCAGATCCCTCTGCCATCATCTAGACACACTGTCTCGCTGTGTCTTTGTATGTTCTGGTCATTTTGTTTGGGAAGTTTCATTTTTGTTTTTCTGAGCAGGTGAACTGCTATTAACTTAAAGTTCCAGGTTCAGAGTCATCTTTCCTATGAGTTCTCCGATTCCCTTTGGGCAGGTAAGCCTTGATCCTACCACTCCTGGAACACATTTCCATTGTAGCATTTAACTACATGCACTTACTGTTTACCTACAGGTCGATGTCACCCAGCCAATTACAGCTTTTCTGGGGTACAGTCCCTATCTTCTTCGTCTTTATATCACTAGCACCAAGCATGGTATTTGGCATAACCAGGGAACCTGGTAAATGTTTGTTGAATGACCAAATAAATGAATGAATGTAATACTGCCTTCTGCAAACCAATCACTCTAGCCCTAAAAAAATGGAACATTTTGATTGACTGAAGCCAAGCAGTATTGAATGCTAATGTGTGAGGAAAGCCAATCCTACCAATTACATGGCCAACAGAATGAGGTGATTATCAATGACAGAGGCCAGCATGTCACCTGGAGTTGGGCTTCAGAGGCAGAGGTCAAGCCTTTGCCTCCATGACTATCTTTAGCTTCTGTCCCCCTGTGGGGTTATTATTCATACTCCTAGCCTTGCTGCAAAACCACTACAGTGTTTCAGGAATCTCAGGCAAAGGTAAATGATCTCTGCATCTCTATAGGAGCTTTCACATAACACTCTCAGGATTTACTAGCTGGTACTGGCCACAGGCATAGCCCTAAGCCAAACTCTAGCAAGTGGAGGGGTGAGATATGTGGCTGAGCTTATTCGGGATTCCCTTCTGAGTTAGGATGGAATTGTTTTTTACATGACCACATGCAAAAAATAATGATGCTAAAGTGATCAAGGTATGACTGCTAAGAGAATTGTGACTGGGCACTCAACGAGCAAACAAAGAACAAGCATGTCAGCATCCTGCTTCAATCAATGAGCACACATTATGGATATCTAACCACCAGCCCCTGAACTTCTTTACTTGAAGCTTCTGCCAATCCTTAAAGCCTTCTTTGCTACCCAGGAAGTCAGCTAGGAATGCTGGGAACCTGATGTTCCCAGCCTATGAACAGACCTCAGCCAATGGCTGGCTAGAGTGTTGTTAGCCACAGTGTCTAGACACCATTTTGTTTTTCCATCCCTAGGGAACATACTCTGATGTTTGCTATGCACTGGCTTCCAGAATGTTCCTAATAGAATTAAGCTCCACTTATGCACTATGTCAGCTGGTTGGCTGGTGGCATCTGGTCTCCCTTTCTTTCTCCCTCACTTTCTCTTGAGCCCAGATTCCTCCATACTTATTCTCTCTGCCCTCTACTGCCTAGCTACTGGCCCTTCAGCTTTTTATTAGACCAATCATGTGCCTTAGGCAGGCAAGGTAAAACAAAAGCAACACATCTTTACATAGTCAAACAATTATTCTGCAACACAAACAAATGTAACGCATCTTTACATAGTTAAATATTTTCCACACCACCACACTAAACCTATAAGTCATTCATTGCTATATCCCAGCAATACCCTCATTGACTCTCTTGAGAAGTCAGGAGAGTGATTCTATCAATGGAAGAGGATATTCTGTGTCCTCAGTTTATCTCTCTGCCTCCCTTAGGCAAACATCTTCATCTGGCCTTTGGTTCTTTGGTTTTCTTTAAGAGAATAGGTATGTCCCAGTGAAGGCCAGCACTCTACTCCTGGAAAAGGCTAATGGGAACATTCTTTGTTGCCTTCTCCTCCCCTGGGAGAAATTTCTTCTGATAAGTGTCATGCAGAAGGGCACACACACACACACACACACACACTTGCCTTCTCCTGAGGCAGGGAATGAATGCAGGTTTTCTGGGGCATTAGGCTACTGGAATTTGAAGTCCCTTTGTGAAAAACTGCAGCTCTACAAATGATGGTGTACCACACAGCCTTGGCAGGAGGCCCCAGCTGCAAAGGACTCTGATGTTTAATCTTTACTAGTTTACAGAAAGTCGAAATCTGACACCAGGCTCCTCATACCCCATACTCTTGGTACATTCACCATTCATGTGACCTTCATGACTTATTTACACACCTTTCTTACTGGAAGAGTCTCCCTCCCTCTTTTGTCAGCCCTTTACCATGTTTTTTTGTTTTTGTTTTCTCACAGAGTTTGGTCCTACAGAATCTTCTTTAATTCTTTTCTTGTACAAAGGCCTTCCTTTCATTGTGGAGGCCCACAGCACTGGGAAAGGGGTCCAAAATATGAGTACATGGATCACATTTTCTCTACTTATGTTGCTCATTTTATTGGGGGGTCAGAACTGGTTTTGCACCTCGATTCCTCAGCACTAAAGGAAACCTTGTACCCCTAAACCAGGGCCATCAAACAGACCCAAGGCTTTGAGAAACCTGCCACCATGAAATTCTCAAAATCAGCCAACCCCCATCATATGCACTGGGACCTTGAGGTCACAAAATCAGACATCCTGACTTAATGTCCCACTCTGCAGTTTCAGAAAAAAAAAATTGTTTGATCCAGAAAAGCTAGGAGAAGCCAAGCCCTCCCCATCCCTCCCCCCCTGCCACACTTGATTTTCAGACCCTGCACAGCTGGCTCATTTTCCTGCATCCTCCATTACTAGTACCAAGCCCCAAGGTTTGCAGACACTAATCTCTTAGACCGATAAAAGTCAACTCTTGGCATTTTGAGGTTGAACTGAGTCTATTTAATTTTTCCCCACTGATTTATTTCTTATGAACACTCCACTATACTCTGGGTACAGCAGAAGGAGGGAGATACAAAGAGATGCCAGGAGAAGCAAGGTGATGAGCTTGGAGCCAGTGCTGTCTCTGCCTCTTACAAGGGTGAGCCCTTAACACAGTAGTTCTCAACCTTCCTGATGCTGTGACCCTTTAACACGGTTCTTCATCTTGTGGGGACCGCCAACCCTAAAAGCTTGTTGCTACTTCATAACTATCATTTTTCTGGTTTTGAATTGTAATGTAAATATCTGACATGCAGGATATCTGATATGCGACTCCAGAGGGGTCATGACCAACAGGTTGAGAAACACTAGCAGGTCACTTAACCAATCTGAGTCTGATTTTTGTTTGATCAAAAGAACATAATGAGGATGTTTATTTCACATTCCCACTGGGATTACATTAATGTATCTGTTTAATCACCAAACATTTAGTTCTTTTCTTGGGTTATTTTATTTTTTTGTCTTCAGAGACTTTGAATAAATTTGAATGAGGAACACTGTGTGTGTGAGTCTTACAGTTCAGTTGAGAAATGGGAAAACTGTAAAGGGACAGGATACAACAGCTCTCACAGATACAAGAATAGAGCATGGCACCCACCCTGTACTGTGTCTAATACACAGGTGTTGTATAAAGGACATTCAGAAAGGAAGACGATTAACTCCGCAAAATAAGTAACTTCACGTATTTGTATGAACATCCTTTTGTAAATATAATTGATACAACAGTAGCTAGAAAATGCTGGAAAATACAGTAGTTTGTTTGGTTTTTAAAGAAAACTAAAGTAGGAAAAGAGCAAAGGTCAGATGAGGGAAGGAAGGCCTGCAGGTGGGAAGGTACAAGGCACATCTCCTGCCTACCTGGCCAAGTGTGCACTCCATGCCACCCAGGAAATCAGCCTCCTTCAGCCCATTGTGGTTGCTGCTGATGTCATGGACCTCAAACCGGAGACGCTGAACCTCTTCAAAGTAAAAGTCCACTGTAAACAGTTTCGAGTATACTGGGTTTATGCAGGTACGGATCACCTCTGTCCTGTCCACCTGAAAGGAAAAAGAGAAACCCCACAAGGATTAGGACTTTTATTATTAACCTTCAAGCAAGTTAATCTTGTGGTACATCCCCTTGTTCCAAACTATAAATACCCTCCTGGAAGTCACTAGGGCTGGCAGATTAAAACCCTATCAGTTACTCCAGAGAATTAACTAAGCATTGGTGCAGACAATTTTACTTGACATAACAAACAGTCCGAGGTCCTGCATTTGGAGTTTTCAATCATGTTATAGAGATTGGGTGATAGAATAAGATGAGATCATCCTTAGTGCAGCAGAGTCCCAGAGAACATCTGGGCTCAGTAGGAAAGACATCTGTGATCAATTAGTGATGTCTGCTGAGCACAGTGATGGAAAATGATAGGTTAGCTGTCTCATTTTAGTCAAGTCTACTCTAGTAGGAGTTTCCAACATAAGATTCCCAGGACAATGAAGAGGAAGGTCATGAGAATGAAGACCAAGCTGCTTTTGTTGTTGAGTATGTTCTTTATTAGGTAGGCATTCACCATAATCCATAGCCCCAAGTTTTCTCATCAGTAAAATGCCAATTAGAAGAGTAGGAGATGAAGGGCATTTACTGTTTCACATGCCATGAGACATTTATATTCTTGGAAAACTGAAAAAATCTTCCAGACCATACAGCACCTTTCAATGGGAGGAAGTGATTCTTTATACTCCACAAGTCAGTAGAAGTCTGCTGTTCATACAGCACATTGGCTCTCAAGTAGAGACACAGTCTGCTGACTGCCCCTCAAGCACTGGTTCTTAGCACAAATTATACCCTCACTCCCCAAGCTCTGGCATAGGTGAGGAAAAGTCATATCCTTCCAGAGGAAAAAGTCCTCTACTCTGTCATCCATGGCCATGTTGCTCCACAAACAGAGTACAGTCTGCCCTTAAACACTTGGTGCAATGCCTTGGTCCTGGCTCTAGCCATCTGACTTCTCATACTGGACTCTATGTGAGGGACACCTCCTGGAGTGCATAGGTGAGTGAACAATCCAGGTTTCAAGGAAAATGAAGACTTAGACCTTGTCATGTTGCTGTGCATCAGAAAGCCACAGTGCTTAATGTTACAAGTTGTTGCCTAAGTTCAATCCCTAATGCTACCAAGATAAATATATATTTGTATACACACACACACACACACACACACACACACACACACAAACTCATTTGGGGGGCAGGGCTGATTCTAACACTGACTGTGCCAGTACAAGAACTTACTGGCATAATTTTTGACTGATTTTTTTCTTGTTTCGAGTAAAGGTGTAAGTCTTCGGTTACAAGCTTGTGGATCACCAGTTAAAGATGACATGGAGATAGTTCTTTTCCTTCACTCAGTGTGTTTTTCCCTTTATCTCCAATGTGAAAAGGACTATTTCTATTCTCCATTTGGAAATAGAAATTGGAGCAGCGAACCTTCCTGCATTCCTGCATGGCCAGGGACTTCCACACTAAGAGAGGGCAGCCACTCCACAGGCTGCATGTGTCCTTCCAGGCCCTTCCCCCACATGGAATTGCTCCATTTGACCCAGAGAAACCTGTTTTAGTTTAATGTCTGGTCCAAATGCATACAATAATGAATTGCAACACAAGAGGATTAAGTATATTTGCTTGATATCTTTTGATAGAGAAATTGGCTACAGGTACATTTGACATCTTCAGGGCAGAGAATAAATATATTCTCTCCCTGTGACTGAACAAAGAGTATCTTGGACAGGCTCAAATGATAGGAGAAAGGAGATGGAGACTCTGGTCTTTGTTAGTTGTGTTCGACAATTCAGTTGACACAAATGGGTCACCTTTTTAGTTTTCAAGTATAATTTACACATTGAAATATGGTTCATATTGTCATTAAGCTACACATCTCAGAGAAGCTATCCAAAATGAGCCACCGATATGCAACCCTATCCCCTGGAAATGAGAAAATGAAAAGAAATGAAGTAATACATATTTACTTTATGAAGATTACGATCTGCAAGAACAATCCGCAGCCACTTGGAACCCCAAGAACATCAGGGTTCAGTTGCAGATGGAAGGCAGTGAGGAGAGTTCTCGTGATGGTTTTAAGTTATCTGCATCTCCAGTCATTATGAGAGATGCATCATCTCTTCTGGATGTTGAAGACAAGGTTCCCCAGAGCAATTGCCTTGAGCAGCATATGCTCCTCAATGAGGGTTGTCAAGTTCAAGGCAAGTGTCTCTAAAGAAACTGCTACTTCCATCTCCCATGAAAGAATGTTCCTTAAAACCCCGGCGCCTGATTCTGATTGGATGAGTAGAGGGTACTACCCAGCAATCCAGAGTCTTAAAAACTATCCCAGGTAGTGCTATACCTCCTGAGGGTTGGGCTTGCAGGTATGTGCCACTACGCTTTGCATGTCCTCTCTGTATGTCCTTGGCAAGTGTGCTGTGGGCCTGCCAGTCTTTGTGAAACAAGCTGATCCCCCATGAGATGAGGTTCTCAGTGTTGTTAAAATGTGGTTTAGCCTCATTTGCTCTCTGTCACGCAGTTTGCAAAGACATCAATGCTTATCTAGCCCCCCTCTTCCACTGTCATCATGACTGGTATATTTATTCATATTGCTTTAGAATTCTCAAGGCATGCTCAAATTCGTTTAAATAATTTATCACAGTCATTTGTTTTTGTGCGTGTGCCTACACATGAGGGCACTTGTGCAGAGATCAGAGAACACTTTGCAGGAGTCAGTTCTCTCCTCCTATCATGTGGATTGGGGGAACTGAACTTGGCAGCAGGTGCCTTTGGCCAGTGAGCCACCTCCCCAGCCCTCACTCACATCCATCTGTTAATTTTGACTTATGCAGCAATCATGTGGGATAGTGTTAAACTCTTTTCCACTGAGACAATTCCTGGACATATGTGCAAGGTGCTAGATGATAGTGTAGGATCTTGAACTCAACCTGCTGACTGACTGCATCACCTGGCCCTTATTTCATGTTTATGCACATCCATTATGGAAAGGCAAGCATAACTAGGTAATGGGGAGATGGGGAGAGAACCCAGCCTCGAATAACCACAGCTAATACAATGCTCTTTGAAAATAGTTCATCTCAAATGTTTTTTTTTAATACAATGACTTTGGAATAATACTTTCAGAAGGTGTTCTATACCATAGACACTCATTCCAACACTGCCAGTACTATTTTTTATAAAGTTTATTTTATGTGTGTGTTCGAGTATGTATACTATATGCAGCCAGTACCTAGGGAAGCCAAAGAAGGTGCAAGAGCCCCTGCCTAGAACTGAAGTTACAGGGGTTATGAGTGCTGGGAACCAAACCCAAGTCCTCTATACGAACGACAAATGCTCTTAACCACTGAGCCAGCTCTCCAGCCCCAAGAATTCACCTTTTTAAAAAGTGTGCAATTCAATGTGTTTATATATGTTTATGCTGTAAAACTATGACCATGGTCAAGGCCATGGAAGTATTCCCATTTCTCCAAGTGTTCTCCTCTCGGCTCCCTACCCCATTCCTAAGAATCTGGCATTTGCTTTCTCTATGGAGAGTGTTTGTAACCCCTGGGCCATTACACAAATGATATATAACATGCATATCACCATGTGCATACCACATATCTTTTTTTCTTTCAGCCAGCATATTTATTCTGAATTTTGTCCATTGTTGTCATATAGATTGTTCATCTGGGACTTGAAGATGGCTCAGGTGGAAAATTCTCACTGTTCAAGCATCAGGAGCTGAATTTGCTACGTAGAACCCACATAGAAAGCTGGGTGTGGGGACATGCATTTGCAAGCAAGTGCTGTGGGGAAGGTGGAAACAGGCAGCTCCTTGGGCTTGCTGGCCAGCCTAGCCTAATAGACAACCTCCAGTCCAATCAGAGATCCTGTCTCAAAAACAAGGAGAATGGCTCCTGGGGAGCAATGCACAAGGCTGACTTCTGGCCTTTACATGCATGCATGTGCATCATCATACAGGTGCACACACCCACAAACATGTATCACACAAATAGGTTCATCTTTTTATTGCTGGGTAGTATTCCACTATTGGTCATGTGGAGCGTTTCCAGTTTTTGATTATTACACATAAACATGCAAGTCCTTTTATGTGCAAACCTTTGCATGGACATACAGTTTTTCTTGTAGATAACTGCCTAGGAGAGGAAGAGATGTATTTAACTTTTCAAGTTTGAGTAGGTGGCCAATGCTTTTAGTATGGGTCTCATTTGCATTTTCCCTAAACCAGTGATGCTTGCAATTGTTTCGTAAGTGATTTGCCATCTGAATACCCACCTTGGAAGTAACCATTTAAATCTTTGGCAAACTGTTACTTGGCTATTCATCCTTATGATACCACAACCATACTCAATAGAAGAAAAAAAAAGCCAAAACTGTTCCTGTTTATACAAAGCGTAAAACAAACAAAGGTGGTTGTGAATCCAGGCAGTTGAGCTCTGGAGTTTGTGTTTTTAACCTTGTTTGTGTTAACCACTGCTCTTGCAAACCTGAAGCTTTTCTTCATAAATGTCATCCCACCAAGCCTCAGGACCTGAGTTCTAGACCTAGGACCTACATGGGAGAAGGAGAGAACTGATACTTCCAGGCTATCCTTTGGCCTCTGCATGCCCACTGTGATGTGTGCTCCCTAATAAATAAATAAACATAAATTTAAAAATTCACTAGTATGAGTGGGGAGGAGATAAAGGTGGGCACCTGCCACTGAGGCCAGTCAAAATACTCTCGAGTTTCCAGGAGAATATGTTCCCAATAGACACTGGTGAAGAATGACATCATAGACCAGAGGACTTGACCAGGGCCCCTGGGCAGGCTCAAAAGTAGATACTCCCTCCGACTGATATTCTTTAAGTTCTTTTTTCCATATTTATTTAGGGTGGATGGAGAGAAACTAATTTTCTCTGAATGAAGAACAGGATAAGCTTATGTGCAAGAAAGGAAGGATTTATTACAGGCAATTTTTCAAACCATATTAACTTCCAAGAGGGTATATT